AGCGAATTAAATAAAGATGTAAAATATGTATTTTACATTCCTATCAGTAAGTAATACCAATTGAGCAAGCCCTAGAATTTTTAAATGGGTTATTGAGTAAAAATAATTTGTCAAATTGTTATGTTGATGGAATTACTCACATGAAAGCATGAATTTATGGAACAAGATGAAAGCTAAATTGGTTGAGTTGTTGTTTGCTAGTCTTAATTAGATTGGAAGGTATGATTATTTCTGTGATAGGGATGAAGGTAAATTTGAATATAGTAAATATTGGTGAAGGTATTAGAAACTAGAATTAGCTCCAATTAATTAAAGGAAATTTGAAAATTTTATTCAAGTATCGAGAAATCAAATTTTAGTATTTGGTTATTATATTCAGAGCTACTTAATATGATAGTAGTTAAATTGGCTATTTTGTATCATATTTCAGGTGGTGATGAAAAGATTGAAAAAGTTTATCGGCATTCATAGCCTGTAGCTTGTCATAAGTGAGTAGACAATTTTTTTTCTTCAGAAATAAGTATTTATAGCAATTATTTCCACAATGTATGACCATTATGGTGATTTACAAGCTCTGCACTATTGTGAATGTGTTTTCCTAGTGTATGACCAAATTATAGCCATCGGGCGCGCATATGACCAGAATTTCAAAATTGAATAGCTTTGCCATGTATATCGGTATTAATCGATACATAAGTATTGTTATTTCGGGTGCCTTTTTGATGTGATTTTTCCAGTATTATACAACTTATAAGATTTCAAACTACATGATTTAGTTTATTTAGTTTACAGAGTAAAAATTTCAGATTATAGTACCGTGAAAGGATATTTTCACTCATATTTACTAATATATGATTTCTTATATCCGTTTTACTTGTTTATGCAGAATAAAGAGTAAAAAATTTTATGATTCCATTAACCTTTAGTCTTAAAATTATTATCAAATTTCAAACTTTCTTAAAGTTGTAATAGCATAAGTAAGAGTTTTCAGAAAAGTTGCATAAATAGAAAAAGTATACTTATTTGCGGAATATCCATTTACTAATAACATTATTGTTCGATTTCTTTACTTTTTCAAAAGGAGCGACAAAAGTGTTGTCTTATCAAGGTATTATCAAGACATTATTGTATGATCAAGATCCCTTCAATAGATTGAAGAAAAATTTCAAGTCCAGAGCATTTTAAGACCTCTATAACAAAGGAATTCATCAAGAAGAGGGCGGAGTATAATTTAAAATAATTTTCCCTTTATTGAAATATCTCCAAGAAAATCTATAATTAGTTTAGAATTTTCAATTTTTCAAAAAACTTATAAGTTTAAACAATTTTCCTAAATAAAAGTTCATATTATTTTGTTACGTGTTTCCTACAACTGTAAGTTATATCACAAGTGTACGGTGTCAAGTTTTATAATATAATAATGGAGTTAGGATGTCGAACCCACATGGATTGAAATGTAATTTATTAGTAAATACTATAATTACGTAGCCTTTACTTTATGTAGATGATCAAATTATAAGATCAATTGTTTTAAACTAATCTAATAAGTATCCTTTGCCTCGTATTCATGATTTGTTTGACAAACTTTGAGGTGCCACGTTATTTTCTAAGGTTGATTTGCGCTCAGGGTACTATCAACTCAAAATTAGGGATGTTCATGTACAGAAAACTGCTTTTTGGTCGAGGTATGGCCATCATGAGTTTTTGGTGATGCCATTTGAGTTGACTAATACCCCAGCAGCATTTACGAATATGATGAATAAGGTGCTTCACCCATATTTAGACAAATTTTTGATTGTTTTTATTGATGATATATTGGTTTATTCTCGCAGTCATGATGAGCATGCTGGGCACTTGAGGATTATTTTGTATACTTTGCGAGATAAGTAGTGATATGCTAAGTTCAACAAATGTGAATTTTGGCTTGACAAAGTTGTGTTTTTGGATGAAGTCATCTCAGCAGAAGACATTTATGTAGATCCTCAGTAAATTGAGGTAGTACTAAAATGGGAACACCATACTAATGTGACAGAAGTATGGAGTTTTCATGGACTAGTAGGTTATTATTGTTGGTTTGTAGATGATTTTTCTAAAATTGCTCTTTCCCTAACTAGTTTGACTCAAAAGAATTCTAAATTTATATGGACTGATGAATGTGAAAAGAGTTTTCAAGAGTCGAAGAAAAGATTAGCTTCTACTCCTATACTTACTCTTCCATCTCCAAGTGAAGAGTTTGTGATTTATAGTGATGGTTCACGCCAATGACTGAGATGTGTTCTAATGCAGAATGGAAAAATTATAACTTATGATTCAAGACAACTGAAGAAGTATGAGT